CTCTCTCTCTCTCTCTCTCTCAAAAACAAATAAACCTTAAAAAATTAAATAAAATCTTTTTAAAAGTCTTCTTATGAATGATAAAAGACACTCCTGTGACTTGGGAAATCCCAAGGGTTTTAAGAGCTCTGTACCAGGAACTGGGGACAGAGACCAAATATATTTCTCATCAAACCACAGGGACCTTGTTTGGAAATCAGGGCTTTGCAGATGTAATTCAGGTAAGGGCAGGGATGAGATCATACTGCATTGGGGAGGGGGGTGGGCTAAATCCAGGCGAAGTGTCCTTGTAAGAGAAAGAGACACAGGGACAAGGCCAGGTGAAGACAGAGACAGAGGCACAGTGATGTAGCCACAAGTCAAGGCACGCCTAAGGGTTGCCAGCAACCACCGAAAGCTGGACGGGAGACATGGATGGACAGCTTCTCCTTCAGGACCTTCGGTGAGAGCCGCCCCGCCGATACCTTGATTTCCGGACTTCTTGCCTCCCGAGTTGTGAGACAAGAAATTTCTGTTGTTTTAAGCCACTCAGTCTGCGGCGGTTTGTTACAGCTCTCCTAGGAGAGTAATATTGCTACTATTTAATGTTTTTAAAGCCATCTGTTCTCTTTTCTACTTATGTGTGTTTTTTAATCATTTTTTTAAAAGAATTTTCTTTTTTTGAAACCGCGCATTTATTTCGCGCGTGTAAGAGAGAGCGCACGAGCCGGAGAGGGGCAGAGAGAGAGGGAGAGAGAGAATCCCAAGCAAGCTCCCCGTGGTCAGCGAGGAGCCCGACACAGGGCTCGAACTCACGAACTGTGAGATCGTGACCTGAGGTGAAATCAAGAGTCCGATGCTTGACCGACTGAGCCACCCAGGCGCCCCTCTCCTTGTGTGTTTCACCACTCTAAGCACCAGTCGTTGCTCTGTAGGTGAGGCTTTTCCAAATGCCTGGTGACATAAGACACGGGCTGAGCGTCGTGTCCTCGTCCTCCTTCCGGTTTCTTCCCTAAAACCAGGCCTTTACCTCCATGCTGCACAGCGATCCTGAGGAGCCAGTAGTCCCCATCGTGGGGTGCTCTGGTCGGCAGCCACCCACAGATCTGACTTTCCCACAAGTCTTCAAGCCAAGTTCTGTCACCCATCCACACCCGCCAGTCCTTTGATGGCAGCTGCTGGGGGGTCAGATAGGTGCCACCCCCAAATACGCCACTTGAGGATGATTTTGAGCTGAAGGCAAGTGAGATGCAAAAGAGCTCTCTGTCCTCCTCTTTTCTACCTAAAAGCAGGGCATCAATTTCCTTTTAAGAAGGTGACAGAAACTTCGCGTTTTGAAGGTGTCCCCTTTTCTCCTGTGTCGGGAAGAGAAGAGTGACTCATCACTGAAGACGGCGAGGCACCAGGATGAGTCTGTATAAACAAACCTTAGGAAACCTTACAAAAATAATCCTTATCTTCCATTAGTTTCCACCATATATTTCCTAGTCATTTCCCCATAATTTATCATCCCTGCAAGCCCAACCTCCCTTTTCTTTGTTAAAATGGTATATAAACCCCCGAGTCGAATCACTCTTTTGAATTTAACTGCTTTTCTGCGCGCGTAAATATTAATAAAAATTGTGTGTCTTTTTTCCCGTGAATCCATCATTTCTCAGTTTAATTCGCAGGCCTCAGTCACTGACTCTAAGAGGGTAGAGGAAATGTTTTGCCTCCCTGACACAGTAGTGGGCCCCCATTTCACAGACAGAACATTGAGGCTCAGAGAGAGAACAGGGGGAGCTTTAGACTGTAGCGAAGCAGTTCCTTTCAACCCTGAGGATGTCTGGATCTCTCAGATCATTGTCCCCAGGTAGGAGGCTGCCCAGGGCATTTGCAGGGTATACTTGGCTTTCAGAGTCCCCATTTCCCTGCCCCTTCTGCAGCCTTCCAGATGACGTGGCTGAGGCCAGAGACTGAGGGGATGTGAGACCAGGGCTTAAGCCAAGCCACCCTCTGCCTCTTCCCCTCCTGATTCCCTCCCTCTGAGTCTCCTGGGCAACTTACATTTGCCCCAGCCTGAAGGTGTGGGTGATGGAGGCCTGGGGTCCAGCCTCCCTGCACGCAGCCTCAGGTTTGGGTCCAGGGGCTGTGGGGGGCTCTGGTAAGAGGACTTGTTCCTTTGTGGACAGATGGCTGCAGTCTCCCTGGTTCCAGAGGGAATTGCACGGGACAAAAGTGCCGACCAGCTTCAGCACCACGGGAGGTGGGCCTTTGCCAGAGGCCAGCCCTGCCTCGGGCAGACAGCTGGCCTCGACGTCTGTCGGGGGTTGTGACTGGCTTCCTACCTGGTTAGGAAGTGGAAACCCTCTTTCGCTTTTTGTTGGACCGGTCACTTCCTAGATGTCATTATTGTGGAGGGAGCTCGTCCTGCCTTGCCATTTGGAGGCCTTCTCAGGCTGCCTGCTCAGCCTTCTTTGCCCAAGGTAAGCTCGAGGGTCGAGGTCTGGAGGAAGGCCTGTCGAACTTTCTGCTTTGGTGCTATGGAAATAATGGCTCAGGTGGGACGGGTGACACTCGTCAGCAGGTCTCAAAGGGGTCCGGGCCCCTGGGGCGGGGGATATCCATAACTATTACCCACATAAAGAGACATGCTTTGGAGTCCTTGATAATTTTCTTAAGAATGTAAAGGGGCGTTGACACCAAAAAGTTTGGGAACCACTTACGTAGGACAAGGGCCCAATCTGGCCCACTGTCTGTATTTATAAATAAAGTGGTTTTTTTTTTTAATGTTTTATTTATTTTTGAGAGAGAGAGAGAGCGTGAGCTCAAGTGGGGGAGGGGCAAGGAGACACGGGACCCGGAAGCAGACTCCAGGCTCTGAGCTGTCAGCACAGATCCCCACGCGGGGCTCGAACCCAGGAGCTGGGAGATGTTGGCCTGAGCTGCAGTCGGATGCTTAACTGACTGAGCCATCCAGGCGCTCCTGTAAATAAAGTTTTATCAGAACACAGCCACATTCACTTGTTCGCATGTTATCTCTGGCTGCTTTCCTGGTATGATGGCAGGTGGAGGAGTCGCAACAGAGACTATCTGGGTCCCAAAGCTGAAAATATTAGTCTGATCCTTTAGGAAAAAGTTCGCTGGCGGCTGATGTAAAATAGCGCGTTTAACTTTCACAAACAGTCTTATTATCATTTCGACTTTACGGCTGGAAAAACAGAGGCACGGAGAGGTTAAGTCACTTTCCCCAGGTCACATAGCCAGTGTGTATGCTGAGTTGGGAGGGGCTCTAGGAAGGGTGGTGGCGCTAAGCTCCCCAGGGTCCAATGACTGACCCGAAAGTTGGGGTGTTAGTCTCCCCCTGCCTGGCCTCTGATTTTCCTTCTTCTGGTGCCCTGATGTTCCCTGAGGACCATCCCCCCCCCCCCCT